CCACAGAGGGGCCGGGTTGTTTGGGAGCCTGGGTAAGGTGCTTCCCTGTGTCTCCGTAGAGAGAGAGACTCATCGAGATGCACAACTCTGCCCACCTTCCCGCGAGACCCTTTCCCAATGACTCAAAAGGATCAGCCACCGGGATTTTTACAGAGATCCCCGATTAAGGGCTTTGGGCTCCGGTCAGCAAATGGTGGGCTAATTGCCATGGAAATGTTCTTTTCTCTGCTTTGATAGTCTTGGTCAAGGAGAGGGTTGTGAAGCATCTCAGAGGGGTTTTCACAGCTCACAGGCGTTGGGCTCCGCAACACCACCAAGATCTAAGACTTATCTTTGCCTGCCTGCTTTCCCCTGCCGCCAGCAACCACTCCCCCTTCTCCTGTGGCCCCTCACGTCTGTTCCTCAACCGGCAGCCAGAAAGATATTCTAGAAATATGAGTCAGATACTTGTATTTGACAGCACTTGTCAGTCCCGTGCTAAACCCTTCCTGCGGCTTTCCTGTGCCCTGGTGGAAACCCAAACTCCTCCCCACAGCCTCTGAGCCCCTGACGGAGTGGGCCCTGCCTTCTCTCTGAGGGGTCACCTGGGCCTCCTCCTTCCCCGTAGCAGGTCACTGTGCTGCATCCGCTCCGCCTGCTTTTCTGCCTCAGACCCACCGGCTCCTTCCCACCCTGAGTCTTCTGCCCTGGCTGTTCTGTCAGCCTCAAAAGACGCCTTGCAGCTTCCTCCCAGCTTTGCATGGCTGGCAACCCCTTGTTTGCCCTTCCAGTCTGATCTCAGTTCCCCACACCCCCAAGCATGGCCTCCTTGAACATCATACCTCAGGAACATCTTATCTGCCTCCTATACTCCCCATCTCCATCCCTGCCATCTTTTAAATGTTCTTCATGGCGCTGGTCACAATCTGAACTTACCTTGTTCCTTCATGTGCTACCTTATTTACTGCCTGTCTTCCCCCAACTAAGAATGGGAACTCCAAGACTCCTGGGGAGACTTGTTTGCTGCCATATCCCCAGCGCCCATGGCTTTTATTTCTTGGATAAATGCATGAGTACATGAATCCAAAGATGGATGAATGGATGGGTGAATAATTGGCTGGAGAGATGGGCTCATGAACGAACAAATGAATGGATGGATGCATGAGAAAATTCGCTCAGGTAGACAGGCTTCCCCATTACACAACTTCCCTGAGGTTAGGATGTACTGCCACCTGGTGGTGGAAACAAGGTCTGACTTGCTGGCATGATGGTCTCCCTTTTTCTGAAATTAACAGTGAATATCTCCCTCCCATCTACTGGCCCCACCCTTGTCCAAGACCCTCCTTCCCTTTTAGAGGCCCCCGTGCGGGGGGTGGGGCACCCTATTCTCTGGCTGGATTATTAGCCTTCCTCTGTGGAGGACTGTAGTGATCGCATAGGACAGTGGGACAGAGAATGACACAGGACTTTGGATTTTCCAGAGAAAGCCTCTTCAGGAAGGTAAAATTTGAGCCCAGATGCAGCCAACACATGAGGAGGAGCCAGGCCTAGAGAAGCCAGGAAAGAGCATTCTAAGCTGGGCCAGAAATAGGGTGAGTCAGGAGAGGCACGTGCTTCCAGCTCCATGTTTAAAGGGGAGCCAAAAAACCTCACAGGAATCAAGATAAATAATATTTAAAAAATACATATTAATGCAAAAAAAAATGTGATGAACACAACACCAACATTTATATAAAGGCAGGCTCCAACGGGGCCCGGTCTGTTGTAGTTGTACAAATGCAAAGTTGGCTCCTGTCCATTTAAAATTGGGTAACTTATTCCTCATGCATACGTTGGCATTTATTCTGATTCCTTAAAATATTGCACCAAAGTATTCTTTGTCTCGGTTGCTGGATGTGAGCTGGGACTTTGGGGACCTCATTTCCTGCTGGGCCAGGGTGCATGAGTCGCTGTGTCCTCTGCACAGGCCTGTCCTAGAACTATGCCCTCACCTGCGTCTGTGACTCACCTGGCCTGAGCCAGTGCTGTGGGAGATGGGGACGTGGGGAGGGCAGGTTGTGATGTATAAGCGGAGGAGATCTGCTGGCCCCAAACTGTGTCCTAAATGGCCCGCACTGTGTACAGCTCCCTCTTGGCCTCTTCCATGGTGGCAGCTGCATGGTGGTCGTCCTCCTGCTCCTGGGCCTCCTCGGGGCAGCCTGTGGGTTCTCTGTGGGGGTTGGGCTGTGGGTAATCTGGAGCCATTTCCTCACTGCTGAGAGCCCTGCAGTCATTGACCACTGGTGACCAATGGCCACTGGGTCTCCCATGGCCTCTTCCGGCTGTTGGTGATGAGGGTGGGCTGTGCCTTTCATTTGCCCCCTGCTCCTGAGAATTAAGGAAGTAGCTGGGGAAACACCTACCAAAAGCATCTAGTGGAAGTCACACTCGTATCACGGTGATACAGGCTGACGGTGTAGTCTCACACCTGAAAACTCCTGTTAGGTAGCCGGTGTTTCTCAAGCTGGGCTGGGTTAATAGCCGCAACATTCAAGGAATGATTCACGTTCTCAGTTGCCAGAAAAGAGCTGCTCTCTCTTCCCATGCACTGTGTCCTATCTTACTTTCTTCACAGTGCACACCACCCGTGACGCTGGGAATGGATTGTTCTGAACTTTAGGCCCCCATTCCTTCTTCCCTGCTAGCTAGAACCAGCCCACAACCAAATAAAGAAACACAGGGCAGGTTGGTAAATTAGTACAGGTGAGAGAAACCACAGAATGTGGCCTAAATGTATACATTTGTTTTGGAGAAATGGAAAACTGTTTATGGAGTTCCTGGTGGGTGTATCTTAATGAAATACATATAAATAGATTGTGGCAAGAATGGTGCTGAGGTTGCCAGTAAGGATTTGTTGTGCTTTTCCAGAGGGCTGATAGAAGTCAAATATAAAAAATACCTTTCTTAAGTCTCTTGAATAAGGAAAGGTGATTGCAAGCATCTGTTCTCATAAGAAACCCTAGCCAGAAAGACCCAGGGCCCAAAGGATTCTTGCCTCCAGGTTCCGTTTTTACAAGATCTGATGAGACAGTCCTGTGACTCTCCTGGCCTTGACTCTCATAGTCTCTAGTCCAGGATCCCAAATATTTTGCAGTAACTCATCTGCAAAATAGGGGAAAATAATAGCCTTTTGTGGGACTGTGATGAGTTGGGCCAACCAGAGTGCAGGGTGCCGTGTCTGGCCCCGAGTCCGTCCTCTATTGTATTTAGCTTTATTACTATTTGTTGATTTGTTTTTCTGCAAAGATGTGTCATGCAACTACTGTGTGTCATCTACCAGTTCTAGCTCTGGGGGGGTCAATGATGAGCAAGGGAAATAAAGTCCCAGGTGGGGTCTCCCAGCAGGGAGCTGTGGTTTCATGGTGGTTTGTGGAGAGACAGCACTAAACTCGCAGACTCACTACAAGAAAAGCAATTCACAGAGAGGCAAGTGCTATGAGGAAAACAAAACATGGCAGTGGGTTCCCAGGGCTTTTCACGTTGGGGTTCCTTGAACCCCCAAGGGTGATAAGATGCAAGAGGTCCATGAATTTGGATGGGGTAACCTCTAACAGAAATGTAGTACAGTTGACCCTTGAACTATACGGGGGTAGGGGCGCTGACCCCCCACCAATGCCTTCGAAAGATCTAAGTATGACTTTAATTCTCCCAAACATTACTACGCACGGCCTACCGTTGACTGAAAGCCTATTTACAACACAGTCAACTAACACTTATTTTGTACGTTTTATGTGCTACACACTAGGCCTACAGTGAAGTAAGCTAGAGAAAAACTGATGTTCTTTCAAATTGTCACAACTGTCCAAAGAAGTTTCCAATATAGTTAATTGAAAAAACTCCACATATAAGTGGGCCCACACAGTTCAAATCCGTGTTGTTCAAGGGTCAAGTGCATTTCCTTCTGTTGTGAATGAAGGTGACAAGCCACAGCTGTTATAGCAGAACCCCTTGGGCACCAAGAGGAATCGCAGATATTTTCAGAGCATATTACAGCTATGACGGATCATGTGAATAATGGTGAATGTGCCTCGTTTCTTTGAAATTGTGACGTTATTGGTTCTTGCTGTTCAGGGGGCTAAAAAGGAAGTACATATATTACTACACCACATGTTTGCTTTAGTATTTTGATAACTATATTTAAAGAGAATTGCCTTCCTTTGTAATCCTACGTATTTTATCTTATGTATACAGAAAACATTCTGTGACAAGGTCCATAGGTTTCACTAAAGCCCAAATGGCCTTGGCATGTAAAGGTCAGGAACCATGGGAAGAAGCCTGCCCAGGGGGAGAGCCTGCTCTATTTGTTTATTCTTATTTTTTATTATGCAGACTTTTGACATAAGGAGACAGAAAGGTTGAAGGAAGTCCCCGGTGCCTCCTTCAATTTATCACTAACTCCCCCATAAATTTATCACTAACTCCTGCCCAGTCCTGTTTCATCAGTGGCCCCACTTTTTCCCCCATTCCCATTTCTCATGATGTGGATCCCAGATGTTACATTATTTTGTCCAAAAAAATTTCAGTAGCTGTCTCTAAAAGATAAGAACTCTCTCCTCCCTCTTTTAAAAAACATAACCACAATGCTGTTCCCACATCTTAAAAATAGCAACAAATGCTCAGGATGGCACCTGTTGGCTGGGGGTGTCCAGGAGGGCCTCCCCAGGAAGGGATGTCATGTCCAGGCCAAGGTGGGGGGTGTCCCAGGTTAAAGGGATCTGGGAGAGTTGGGCAGAAGCCTGGCCTGTAAGACTGAGGTGTCAGGTGTCCAGGAGAAAGGGTTGTGAGGAGCCTGTGCTGGGGTGGCAAGGGCCAGGGTGGGGTGCATTTTACTGCCGTGCAACAGGCCTCCAGTGGGTGGAGCAGGGCAGTGGTCCAGTCTGGTCTCCCGCCATGCTGTGGAGGGTGTGTGAGGCAGCAGATGTCCAGGGTGGCACACGCTGTAATCCCTCCCAATGCATTTCCTCTTCTCACGCCAACAGGGGATGATTTTTCATCAACTGAGAATCTGTTCTATGCCCCAATTTGTGCGATGCATACATGACCTCATGCCACTAGAGGAGGAGCCGGATGTCGTGGTCGCAGATCTCTGCTTTGGGGTGGTCCCCGTGAAGCTGTACCAGCCCAGGGCACCTTCCTGCACACTGAGGCCGGGCATCGTGTTCCACCAGAGCAGCGGCAAGGTCTTTGGGAGCTTGGGTAAGAGTCCTTCCCACAGACCCCCGGCCTGCAGAGTAACAGCCTCAAATCAGAGCTGGGGGGACACCCAGCATGAGGGGGCACCCCTGTCATCTGCCTTGGGTCTAAAAGCCACTGTTGTGACCAGGGAACTAGGGAATTCCAGGACAGCTAGCAGGTCCCAGATAGTCAGGCAGCAAAGATATGGAATGCGCTGATCTCTTTCTGATAATAAGAATATATATATATATATGTAAAATATATAATATATACATTGTGTATATATATATGTATATATGGAATGTGTGTGTGTGTATGAAGTCACGCAACATGAAATTAACCATTTAGTATAAATTTTGGCATTTAGTACAGCAAATGTGCAACCATCATCTCTAGTTGGAAATAAGGATTTGAAAAAAATGGAAATAACTAAAACACATCCTTTTGTTTCATATCAGGTATTTTCTGAGACAAATTCTGGTACAGACAGGAGGACAAAAATTTGAGGAAAATTAGAGAAGAAAACTTCAAAATTGAGACAATTTTATTATCTTACTTTTCCCCCACTCCCTCATGAATTAGAGAGGAAAACACCTCCCTTTATTCGGTCTTGGAAGTGCTTTCCTATCTGTGGGATGCCAGGGTCCCATTCAGCAGCTCTGAGAAAAAGGGATTTAATGCAGCCATGGTTTGGATTTTGTCTGTGTAATGAATGATAGTAACAGCTAACATTTATTAATTTTGATTAATATTCATATTTACACAGCAGGTACTGTGGCAACCTTTTAAGTGCATTATCTCATTTAAATCCCCCGTAGCCTTGTTACCACCATTATACCCACTGACAGATGAGAAAAATCGAGCTTTAGGGTAGGTGAAGGGACTTGCCCTGCACTATTTCAGCTCAGGCTAAAGGGGGGCAAAGTTAGGATTCGATCTCAGGCTCAAATCCAGAGCTCACACCCTGACGCACTGCTCTACGGCCAAACAGCTTCTAGATATTCTGGATGAATTACAGAATCAAGGGAGGGGGAAGAGGTGCTTCTTAGAGGAGGTTGTTCAGACAGTCCCACAGAAGAGAAATAGTGACAGATTTGATGAGAAGGCTGCCTGACGGCTACAAGAAAATCTGCAAAGCGAGTTAGAATCAGCACCAGCGCTCTGTGCGCCCTGCTTGTCAGAGAAGGGCGAGCCCAGGATGGCTGGCAAAGGGACCCCACTAGCCTTCCTGGTGGACGTGAAGACCTTTTTATTTTCTAGAAACCCACCATGTGGCATATACTGTCGTCGCCCAAGGAGAGTGGCTCAGTGGTTCTATCAACTGGGTGAGTAAAGGGGAGGACGGAAGGGTGTCGGGAAGCCAGGAGCGCGGGGCTGATGGGATGGGAAGCAGGAATCAGCAGCAGGCGGGGGGCTGGAGGGCACCAGGAGGAAGGCCTGGGCCCGGAGAGTCAGTGCAGAGAGGAGGGGAGAGGCAGGGCTCAGGGCGCCCCTCCTGTGGGATCATGTGTGCCCTGGCCGTCTGGAAGCTGCCCGAGGAACGCTCCTTGCTGGGCAGGTCAAGTGCAGAGCCTCACAGCTGCAGCGCTTGTGGGCGGAACACTCTTCACGGGCTGGAACAGCCCTGCGCGTTCTGGCCGCTATGCGCCTCCCTCCACTGACTGCCTGTAGTGCCCAGGCCATAGCCAGCACAGCAGCAGACTCTGCCAGGTCATCTCCACGTGCTCCGGAGAAGGAGGTCCACCCTGGTGAGATGCACCCGTGGGAGTGAGAAAGCTGCAAAAGCCACCCGCTCTCCAGACTGATTTCAGGGCATCACCCGCCCAACCTGGAATCCTGAAGAGGGCTTGGTGGACACGGGGCAAGAGGGACCCAGGGCAGCCCCTCCCTGGGCCTCCAGCTCAGGCGAACTGGACGCATCCCAGGAGCAGCCACCAGCGTGGTGTGGACTCATCCTACCCTGCAGGCTGACACATTTCCACACACAGGGGCATTTCTCCTGATTAGGCTTTTCCAACAGTTTTGTTTAATGCACACGCCACAGAGAAATATCACTTGCCAGTGTCTTGGTAGGGACGATTTCTCAGCTTTCTTGTGGCACAGCTAGGTGAATAGAGTAAAAAATACAGAAGTCGGTCCTGGGTGAGGGAGAGAGACCCAGAGAAATGCCTCACTCTACAGTTCTCAGCTCCAAAACCATTTCTGGTGGGACGGAAATCCTGGCCACATGGTCCCCCACTGTGCACCTCACTGTTCTGGTTGTGCTGAGCTGAGAGATCGTCAGTATAATATCCCAGCAAATCTCTGCAAGAAAGTTATTTCATGAATCCAAGGTAGACAGAACTTTGGAGTTCAAAATATTGCTGTCCCAGCATGAACCCAAGGGAGCTTATAGTAGGGGGCATCAGAATGGAAGTGGCTGGCAGAAGGTATGTTGATCCCATAGAGTGTTTCTATCTTTTTTTAAAAATTTGAGGCCAGCATTTAAAATGGTGAAATTTCCCACAAAATCCAGATTTCTAGAATATTTTGAAAAATGGGAAGGTCTAGCAATGCCAGGCTGGCCTTCCTGAGCCGGGCACTCTGGTACCTGGAGGGGTGCATCTTGGGGCAGCAATGGTCTAGAGTGGGCGTGGCTGGTCAGGAGGAGGCCCATATGTTATCTACTGGCCTTTGGTAAAATTTAAGTCTACGAGATCCTCCCACAAAACCAGTGAACACGGCGGGAACAGTTAGACTCGAAACCTAGGCAAATGGAGTTGCTCCGAAGAGTCGTAAAAGATAGAGCACAGGTGTGAGTCAGGGGAGCCCCAGCAGGTAGGTTAAGGAAGATGGAGCTGTGTTGGTGACAGCTAAGTTGTGACCAGTAGGTGGATGGCAGGGCCCTTGTGATTACAGCCTGACCCCGTGGGTTATTGAGACCGAGAGAATAGCAGCTACTTCATACTGAACCCACATGCCGGACACTGCATGGTTTATGTCTGTCTTTTAAGCCTCAAACCTCAAGGACACCTGCTCAGACTTCAAAAGAGAAGTTCATGGGAGATATTTGGCCTAAGGATGTCAGACACAAGTGTTCTGGGCTCTGTTGAGGTGAAGAATGTAAACCATGTTCCTTGATTCCTGTGTAGACATGGCATGGTGCCCCAGCAGAAGTTTCCAGTGGGAGCAACAGACTGCACGGCAGCTGCCACCCATTCCATGCAGTCCCTGGGTATGTACGGGGTGGACCCAGTGTGGGTCGTGGTCTGTGGTGACAGTGTGGGAGGCGGAATAGCAGTGATAATTTTTCAAAGACTTCTGGACCAGCCAGATCTTCCCAAGATCCAGGCCCGAATCCTGGTAAACTTCATTTTCCAAAGCCCATATTTCCAGCTCCCATCCTACCAGCAGAACACCAACGTCCTGTTGCTCAGTCTTGCCTTTGCCTTCTATTGTTGGTGTGTTTACCTGGGCATCAGCCCCTCCTGGAAGACCACCATCAGGAGAGGCGCCCGTTTGCCTGCTGAAGTCTGGGAAAAGTATGGAAAGTGGTTGGGTCCAGAAAACATGCCCGAGAGGTTTAAGAAGAGAAGCTACCAGCAGTGCCCCGGGAGCCCGTGAATGAGGCTGCCTATCAGGAGACAAAGTTCATCCTGGATTTGATGAACTCGCCCCTGATTGCAGAAAATGAAGTAGTGTCTCTGCTCCCCGAAGCCTGCATGGTGAGCTGTGAATATGATCTTCTCCGGGACGACTCACTGTCGTGCAAGAAGAGGCTGGGGGACCTGGGAGTCCCAGCGACTTGGCACCACGTGGAGGGTGGTGTCCACGGAGTGCTCAACAGCCTTGACGTGGGTTGCTTGTACTTCCCCTGCTCCATGAGGATCCTGAATACCACAGTCCATTTCCCAAAAGGGTTGTAGCCATCTTTCCCTCCTGCTGGAGCTGAGGCTGGGGGCCACCCTCTTGCTCTTCAGGGGGGTTTCTGTGGCTGATGGGGGTGATGCTGAGCGGGGCCGGGGAGGGCGGCGAGATTGCCATCTGCTTCTTGCTCCAGGCTCTAGAATCCCAGGATGCACGTTTCTGATCTGAAGGGAGAGGGGTAGAAGAGACAGGTTTGCGGGGAGGGGAGGGTTCTTTGTCTACGTTCACCACTGGGAAACTTTGAGCTGACAATCTTCCGTGGCCATTTGAGAGAGTAAATGGGCATGGAAGGATTGCCCATCGACGCCCTGTGGGGGAGTTCAGATTGCCCAGGTTGACCCAGGCTGTGGGTTATGGGTAAGTCCATTGGGCTGGCCTTGGAATAACACAGGGGCACCCTGTGCAATCTCATGGGCCTTCCCAACCTGTGCAGAGTGCAGGGCTCTGCTGCTCTAGATGGCTGGGTGGGGGTGGGGAAGCTGGTTCCATCCTCTTCGCCTGGGTATACGGCGACGCTTTCCCTGCTCTTCCTGTGCCTCTGAGCTCAGGGTCTCAACTGTCTGGGCTGGAAGAGTGGGGACAGAGTGGATTGTCTGCTCCCATGGCAGTTGGCACCTAGTGGTAGGTGAGGGCAGCCCGGAGCCGCCTGAGGAGGGGAGCTCTGAAGCTCTTGCAGTCAAGGTCAGGCTTCCAACTGAGGGCCCAGGAGCAACATTAGAAGAGTCAGAGGCGAGGAGCTGGAAGGGGAGATGAGCCCTAAGCCAGACACTCGGGGAGACCGAGTCCCACTGACCTCAGCCCCAGCCACAGCAGGAACCAGGAGAGGGCCAGAGGGCTGGGAGAGGTGCTCGTGAGAGCAATTTCCAGAACCAACTTAAATTGCCCTAAATCAGGCTAATGTAGCTGATTCCAGGGGTAAATGAAGCATGTTGGAGCTGAAACTCAGAGGCACCAACTGCCTTGTCTTTCCTCTGTTCTGCGCTCCTCTGTGTTTACATCACACTGGTCTCTCCACACGGTAACCCTGAGCCGCTCTGTGCTTATGCTCTACTGGATTCAATCCAGTTATGAACTCGCCCCAGAGGAAATCACCTTGTAACTCGACAGCCCTATTGGCTTCCTGAGTGATGTATTCAGGCGCCACAGTCAAGGGAATGGGATGTTCTGATGGACCAGGCCCGAATCCCAGGCCAGCCCTGGAGTGGAGAGTGGGGTCAACTCCACCTGGGGCCTGGACCGATTCACATCGATGCTTATCTACGATAGTAGACGTCAATGCTTACACTACTGGGTGGACACCAATGCTTCTCCTGCAGAAGCTAAACTGAATCCTGAGTCAAGGTACCTGGATGTGGCAAGAGATGTCAAGGACCAAGCTGGGCACCTGATTCTTAGGAATAAAAGTTCCTCTGAAAGGGGTAGCCTAGGCTCACATGCTGGCCTGGCCTGGTCTTCAGAAGGCTCTACTCCTGGCTTACCAGTGGCTTCTATAGACTGAGATCCAAGTCCACTGCTGCAGGGGCCCTGTGCATATCCTTAACTTGCTTTCCGTTGAATGTTCCTGTGAAACATAGGGCAGAGAGGACACCCACTGGGTGGCTTTCCATCCATTCACAGCAGGCAGACCAGCGGGTGGCTTCATTGGAGGAAGAGGAACCCCTCACTGATGGCACCTGGTCTGGTGTCCACTCAGCCGTCAGGGAGCACGGGAGTCAGAGGAGCACGTTCCCTTCGGAGGCAGGCCTCTGAGTGGGGTCTGTGGGTCCCCCTCCTGGAGAGTGGCCTGTGTGTCACCCCTGCCTCTGGAGATGGGTAGAGGGACATGAGGGACATGACCTGAGCTGCTGGGTTGCTGGGTGGGTGCCTCCTCTACTGTGGGGTCGTGAGGAGTGGGCAAGCTGCTGGAGGACCATGCCCAGTGGAGATGAGTGGGTTACACTTCTAGGGCTGCAAGAACCTCTGGGTGGGCTCGTTTCCAAGGCTGCTCCCTTCTGCAGACTGTGGGAGAGGAAAAGCCCTTTCCCCCGCAGTGGCTGTTTGGGTAGATCTGGGGACCAAATGTCCCACTCTTACTTTACTGCGTCATTGCTGTCTTTCCTGCACCCATGCATGAGGCTCAGGGAATGGAAAAGGGGTGGGAAGGGATGTTCGCCATGAGCCAGCTCCACGCTAGGCACGCTACTGGGCCATTTAAATCTGCCACCTCATTGGTATGGGAACACAGCTCCTGCTGCACAGACATTTTGCAGCATGACAGCCCTGCTCACACCTAGAGTCTGGACATTCAGATAAGGCCCTGAGCTTAGGATTCTTGCCACAAGCTTCCACTTCCCTTTTCCTGGGGGCAACTTTTAGAATAACCACTTGACTCTGAGCCCATGAGAAGTTAGTGATCTGTTCCGACCACCTTACAAGTAAGAGGTGCTTGCTACCTACTGTTCATCTCCCACTCACTTGTGACCTGGAACAGAGGCCCCCTCCCCCTCCCCGGCTCACTGCGTACAAGGAATAAACCTTGAGACTTTACCTCCCTTGTGTAAGTGTACTGAAACTGTGCCTTCAGGCCAAACGACCCTGGGGTTTTCACTTCTCCAAAGTGAGGGCTCCAACCAACGCTGGCCCCTGTGGATGGCTTGTGCCTCCTCATTCAGCACGAGATAATCTGCCTATTCTTAATCTAACACACCAGATGTGGTTCCCCACCACACTCACGTGTTCCTCATAGGAATTCTACGAAGTGGTTATTCTTATGACCAATTGACAGAAGAGGAAACCAAAGCCTAGGAGGCGTTAATGACAACACTCATTTCCTGTCTCTTTCCAGTCAGGCTCCAGCCCAGCTGATTAAGTAGCCAGTCCGAGGTCTCGTGGTTGGCCAGGCGCTGTGCATGGCAATCCTGATCTGACGACAGCCCCTTTCTGCCGCCACCCCACCCCACCCCAGCCCATTAACTCTTTTCTTTCCTGTCATAAAAGAACGTATCTGAGCCACATGACCTTACTTGAGTCATTTCCCATCCAGCTAGACGTTGGCTACTGTCTCATCTGAATCCAGTTAATAGAACCAAGTATTTTCGCTGTCTGGTTTGCTTTGCTTTCTGGGCTGTAGCTTCCAGTCTGAATGATTTTGGAGTTGGTGACTGTAGGCCCCTCTAGGAATGCACAGCTGAGGGGCCCCGCTAATACCACTCAGGAGAGGGGACACCCACACATCTTTTAGCCCAGACCCTCTGGGAGTGTATTTCTCAGTAAATTACCAGCATTTCCCTGGAGAGATCTGCAGGTCAGGCGAGGACGGGTGCCATCTGACAAAGGACACTGGGTTGCATCCCAAACTGCCTTCTTCTATCAATAGGCAATTGAGGACAAGGTCCTACGGCAAAGCTGAGAAACTGGCAAAATTAGTCTCTGCCACTCTTCACCCCAATTCCCTTTCAGTGTCTTCCTCAGAGGGCTCCTTGCCCCCCTCCAGGATCTCCCCGTCCACGTGACCCCGGATCTTGTCTAGGTCTCTGCCAGCACTCTCTGCTCCAGAGTGACTGCTTGCGCTCTCCTCTTAGCCTGGGGCTATTTTAGATTAAGCTCTGCTGCAATGACAAGTGGCCCCACTGTCTCAATGGCTTATGACAGCAAAGGTCTAGGTCTTGCTCACATTACACATCCCATGCCCCTCACAGAGCAGCTGCAGCCACCCTCCACGTTTGTCTACACTGGGATCCAGGCTGATGGAACAGCCTCTATCTGAAATCTCTCCAGTGGGCAGAGAGGAAAAGAACACAGTAAATCCTCCAGTGGCTCCCCAGACTTCTGCTCAGAAGGGGTGCTCATTATTTTTGCTCCCCCTTTGTTAGCCAGAGCAAGTCATATGGCCAAGACTGAACTTGACAGGACAGAGAAGCATAAGCTCTCCAGAGAGGGACAGCAAGTATTTGTGGACATTATTACAGCTTACTACACAATCATAATTTTCCATTTCCATTGTACCTTTTAAAATGCATTTTAAATTATAATAGTGATACACAAATACATTCTTCTTTTAGATAAAACTTTCAAATACAAGAGATAAGGCTAAAGTAAAGTCTCTTTGGCCCACCCTGCCTCAAATCTATTCCCATTTATCTGGATGTGTCCACCGTTACTTTTTTTTCGGTGGTGGTGGCAGGGGCATCTTCTTTCAGAATTTGTTTCTGTGCTTTTACGTACACAGATATGTACCCATAGAAAATGTAGAATATTATTCTGTGGGATGACTTTACCATATATTGGTACATAAAATATATTATTCTGTACATGTTGTGCCACTTGAATTTTTCACCCAATGATGTATCTTAGAAATCAAGGCTAGTAAATGGTACAAATTTCTCTTACTCTTTTTAGCAACTGCATAGTATCCCACAGTATGGCTAAGTTACAGATCCTACCAGTGAACACATTTGGTCTTTTTACAGTTTTTCACAGACAAACAAATCTGTAGTGAACATTTCTATGCATGCCCCCTTCTGCACATGTGATCCTCTGTGACCAATTCAAGGAGGGCTGTTTACTTGGCACATTTTGAATGCCAATTGGATGTTATGAAAATGCCAGTCCATCTCTTTTTCTCTGCAAATCTCAGCTGGGAGGGATGTAGTTGAATCATAACATTCAGTCCCAAAAGCAAAAATAAAATTGATTGGCTGGACAAAATGGTAGGATGGGACAGAGTTGGCTTGGCATGTCTGTATTTTAACAGGAAAGTTCCTTAACTCAAATGGACGTCTGCAGGAATCAGGTGAGGATTCAGGGCAGGCTCAGCATTATTGGCTCGCTGCCTCTAATATCCTTGCCTCCATCTAACAGAGCAAAGGACCCCAGAGCCAGTAAATTGGCCCTTTGTTCCTAGGGTTGGCAAGGGTCGCTCTGTTTCCTGACCAGAACACCCCCCACCCAGCACTGCAGCTGGTTACCTTGCAAATTGCTGCACAAGGTTGAATCAGGTAAGGCATGCCTGGGGATCAAATTTCAAAGCATTTCTAGTCACACTAGTATGAGACAACTGGTTGCCTATGTTATCACCAAAGGGCAGAGCAGTTCCAAAAAAAATGTTTTTTTGAAATACAGTTGATGTACAATAATATTGGCTACAGCATAGTGATTCGACAATTTATCCACTAC